CCATCAGCATTTCTAGTATTACCAGTCGCTATGATAACCTACCTGATGCTTCCTCCTCAGGCTCCGGCTCAAACTCAGCCCAACTGGCGTCTGCTGCAGCTTCGGCAAGTAGCTCCGCTGGGGGCAGCTCAACCTTATTAACTATGGTAACCTCCTCTTTTTTGGTGTGTAGTGACTCGGCAGCTAGTTCGGCAAACTCGTCGTCTTCGTCGTCCTTGAGCGTGTCAAACTCGGATAGATCCGGATTGAGTGCGTTGCCGTCGGCTTCCTCGTCCTCCTCCTCGACCTTTTGGGGCTTGATAAAGTTCAAATGCAGCGAAACACTCAGATCAATGGGCGCCACACATTCGGGTACGTCATCGACGAGATCGTCGAGCAGAGTGTGCTGGGGCTCGGCTGTTATGAGATCGACGTCTGAGTCGGCTACCTCAACACTTTCGCTGAGCAGTAGATTTTGTATGCCTTTGCGTAGTTTACGCTTCGGATTGGCTAAGGCGAGAGCGTGCTCACGATCGACGCGGCCAGAGAGCACCTCAACGGCGGCGCCAAGGCTGACGAGCTTCTTGTTGCCCTTGGCCTTGTCGGCGCCAACAATGACCTTCTCCGCGTAGGCGGTGTCAAAGGGATCGGGTCCGTCGTCTAGCTCGAGCACTGGCGAATCGGGTACAATAGCTAGTTGCACCTCCCCGCTGGTAATTGCCTCAATGTAGTCGGTGGCAAAGATGTCATCGACGTCGTCCTGCTGCTCGTCCTCCGAATCGGATAGCTGAACAACGGCCTCCGCTAGCTTGTCACGATTCGCCTCACGTTCGGCCTCTAGCTGGCGTTCGCGTTCGAGTCTCTCCTGCTCGCGTCTTGCGGCCTCCTCCTCCTCTTGCCTCTTCTTCTCTGCTGCCGAGGGCAGGCGCTGATAGAAGGACTCCTTCTTGATGCGATCTAGCTCGTCCTGTGTCTTGTGTAATATGTTATCGACACCGGATGTTAACGCCTTAAACTTGGCCCATTCTTCGTCGCCAGCGTCAGCGTTCTGCTGCTGCTGTTGCTGCTGTTGCTGATGCTGCTGATGCTGATGCTGATGCTCGTGACTGGCTGTTGATGCAAAGCCTGATGCGTGTGTCGATGCGGATGTGGCTGCTGCGCCCTCGACGTCTGATGCTGCGTCCGATTCGCCAGCGTCTGATTTGTTGGCGGCAGCCTCCTGTTTCGCTTTGAGCTCCCGCTTGTACTGTTCGAGCTCCTCTTCGGTGAAGAGTTCCTGGTCCTTTTTTGACTTCTTCTTTTTCTTTTTTAAGCCCTTTGGTAACTTAAGCATTATCTAATTGCGGAGACATCGAGATCGGTCTGCAAGTACACGCACCCGCCCACCGATGCGCCCCAAGCATCGAATTTAATACTCTTCACGCACACACACACACACAAACACACAGAGAGTCACACACATACACATGCACTCATATGCATGTAACTACATACATACACACGTATGAATGCACGCTCCAGTGTGGATCTAACGCAACGAGGAGAAGGAAGGAGGGGGGCTAGCTGGCGCGGGCATTATGTAAGCTAGGATTTCTACAATTTCAACGAATACAGCATCCCATCTCAGTGATGCAAGTATGCAAAGTACGCAAATGGAATGCCGAGTTTGGTTCAAGCAAGCTACATACGTGTGTGTGTGAGCATATATATATATGTATGTACGTATATATGTATATTGTATATTATATATTATATATCTGTATATATCAAATAAAATCTATCTATGACTAATGGGTATCTCGCTATTTGAGTACGGATGGTTAGACACGTTTGGCACTCACCGCCGCAACTCGCAATGTCCGGAATATTTGGCGAGAGGCTCAATGTGAACCGTTAAAGCGTTCGACGTTTTATTTTCTTTTCAGTTCTCATGCGTTTTCATTTAACAATTGAGTTGGCTTTTCAACTGCGAGTGTTGCATGGAAAAATTCAATTCGCACACTTACACACACACACGCACACATGTACACACATACATAGAGACACTCTGTTGAGTAGCGGATTGACACAATTGTGTACCTACACATGAACTTGCCACTTGGCAGAGCTTTTTCACCACACCACTAGCACACACACACACACACAATTCACCACAGCACCTACAACAAACACACCCCAAACAACAACAACAACAACAATGAGAAGAAGAAGAAGACTGACAGCTTTGTCTTACACTTGACAAAAACAGATTGGCATTGAAAAGGCAAATGCTTGAAATGTATGCAACAAAAGCTTCGATGCGGCATGCAACATGAATGCTATGAGTTACAAGTTATTCTGTCTAATTGTAAATGTGTAAATATAATAATGGGTAATATCGAATACTCTATAGAAATGCATATTGAATAGGGAAGAAGCTATGAATAAGGGCACAAATAAATACAACATGAAATAAATAAAAAATAAATAAATAAAGAAATATAATATTAAATATTACTCAAAAGGTGAATAGAAAATATTTTATATATATGTATTATCTGAACTGTTCCCTTACTTTAGCCCTAAGATTTTACATCAAAGTTATTCAATTTCTACCCAAACTAAACTAAACAATATAAAATATATTTCAATATTAATTAAAATTCCATCACATCTCGCATCTCTCGTTAATCAATCTCTTTAATCTGCTGATCTTGAAATGCCGATAGCTTTCACGCTAAATTTTTTTTTTTTTTTTTTATGTGTATGCCTCAAGGGTGTATAGGAAAATTAAATAGATTTCCGGGCTAATTTTCAGCATTCGTTTATGCAACAAAAAAAAAAAAAAAAAAAAGCAACGGCTAAGAACACGGCAATTACACTCAAAACATTACGAAATAAGGCAAAAGGCAATGCTTATTTACATGGGGCCAATGTGGGTGAGAAATACAAAAATAAAGTCGAGAAAAATGCAGGACAAACGTCAATGAAAATGGGGGGCAGTAGTACCTACTTTTTCGTATACTTGTTGTCTTTGTTGTTGTTGTTGTTGTTGTTGTTGTTGTTGTTGTTGGGGTTTTTGCTGTAGCTCGAGAAAAAAATCGATGGTTGTGAGACGCACTCAAAGAGGGGGTCTGAAAAATGTGTACGTGTGTGTGTGTGTGTGCGTGCCTGCGTGTGTGTGTGGGCTACTGAAGCAGTGCAAAGAGAGCGTAAGAGTGAGAGAGCTGGAGCGAACACGCTGCTGCCTACGCACACATCACACACAAATATCACACACACACACAGGCACAGATACGTGCTACACGTTATATCTTCTTCTTCTTCTTCTTTTTTTGTTCACTTGTCAAACACGTTATGAAAAAGTTTTCCTCTGATTAGCTTTGAGTTCAGTGAAAGTTTTTCTCTTGGCTTTTCGCAACTTCATTTTCAGGCACTCACAGCTCAATTTACAAATTTATTTATGCCAACAAAAAAATACATAAAATAATTGAACGGAACTTTGTCTTTTCATTTGAAACATTTCTCACTCTCACTCTCTCTCGCTCTCGCTCTTGCTCTTGCTCTTGCTCTCTCTGACATTTAAAATTATGCAACTTACGTCTCACTCTTGCGCACTTTTTAAAGAACAATTAAAAAATAATTGTTTAATTTTTGCTAGCGCAAATTTATGAAATAATTGCAATTGTTTTTAATTCAGGGTTTTTTTAGCTGGATTTTATTTAGATTGTTTGTGGTTGGCGTTTTTCTGTCTTCTCTTTTTTCTTTATTACCTCTGATTTGAACTATCGGGAAATCTAGCACAGAATGAATGAGCGTGCCATGAAAACCCATAGGAAGTGCTTTTTGCCAAACGCAGCGGTATCCTTCAAAAGCTTTCTCGCAAAAAGCTGCGCGCAAAAAAGAACCATACACATATACATACACGAGGACACGTGCCTCCCCCGGCCCCACGCGGACGCACACATACAGCTGACGTCGCTCGCTCTGTCCTCTCTGCGTTTGTGTGTGAGTGTATGTGTGTGTGTGTGTGTGTGTGGAGCTCCTGCTGTGCCAGAAAGCTGTGACGTGATAAACCTGAAGGTTTCAAGCTTCTATTCACAACAACTTAAGCTTTCACTCTCACAGACAGAGAGAGCACGCGAGTGTGCGTATGTGCGCGAGCGGCACAGATATAGAGCAAGAGAGCGAGAGAGAGCGTGACGTGGTTGCACCACAAGCAAAAACAAAACAAGTCCTGTCATTGTTGACGCTTTCATCAGTTTTGACACTTGACATTTGTTGGGGCGCGTGCGCGTGACACGGCCGTCGTGAGTCGTGACTGGTCAGCTACACGTGCGGCCCTACAGGCCCTTAAACATGCTCTGCAGCCCTGGGGCGATATGACAGCTGAAATTTAATTGATTCAAAAAGCTTTTCAACCGAAATATTGAAAAAGAAAAAAAAACCTGTGAATCGGGAAAAAACATATGTAAATAAATATATAAATATATGTAAATATAAGACATATAAAATTAAATAATTATTAAAAAATATTTAAGTATATAAAAATATAAATATAAAAATATATAAATATGCTAAAATATGTATATAAAATGAGATTTTTCAACTGAAAAATTCCAATTGGAATTCTGCTTAGCTCTCTTTTGAAAAATTGAATCACTTCAATAATACTCATATTCTAGTTCAAGCTTTAATTTGTTGTATATTTTCAGCAGGTCTGGGTGCAAAAATAAAGACGATAAGTGCAGTAGAGTCCGGTTATAGCGACGAAAATTCTGGTCCCCAGACAAACTTTTATGGGCAAACTTATACTGTCATAGCGCCCTCCGGGTATATCGACGGTTCCTTTAGTGTCCTTATAAATGGATTCTACTGTATTTATATAAATAAATTTCTCCGAAATTATTAATCCTAAAATTTTATAATTCTAATTTTGGTAGTTTATTATTACATCTCTCTTAAAATCTCCTCCTGTCCAAATCAAAACTTTTTTTTTACGAATAGTTAAGAGAATACTTGATGAATCGAAAAACTAGAAATATAAAGAAACGGCGCATTGCTTTTTATTTGAAATTAAAAGTTATTATCATTAAATACTGTTAAGATTTCAGTATGGAGTAATTTGTATATAAATTCAATGTAAATTGGATTTGAAGACAATATATCTTAAATGAATCGAAAGTTGAATAAAAAAAAAAATGTTAATAAATATAGGTAGAGTAAATATAACGGTATAATAGTCTAATACACATTAGATGAGTACACTCAATAGATATGTGTACGTGTATATATAGATAGATATGCACATATGTACAACATATACTATGTATATAGGTCATAAATTTCTTCTTATCTGTGTGATTGGGCAAGCCCAAAGCGCTGAGCAAGTTGACATAGTGAAACGAATTTGGGAGATATAGTTGCGTTTCTCACAACATTTGATAAGCCCGCTATAAATAGATATACGTGTGAGTATATTCCCAACGGTATAGCTAGCCTCTATATAGATAAAGCCTCTAATTTACCTAAGTACTTTGCATATGGGAAAACACAGCTAGCAGTAAGCTCAAAGCTCCGTTAGCTGCGTACATATCCGCATAGGTGTGTGTGTGGGCGTGTCGCATACGCCCCTTAGAGCTAATCAGTATGTGGCCACATCTTGTCTCTATGGAATATTCTTTCTTAGTGTTCCTTATCGAAATGTCCTGTCTCACTCTAACAACTGGCATTCGGCATAGTTGCATTCCTTTCAGTCTCATGGGCGTCCGGCTATTGCTGCGCTGCTCAGAGCCGTATGTGAGAGGAGAGCCGACAGCCGTTGAACCACCACGACTCAATGTTGTCATAGCTCTGGGTCCTGTGCGTCCAGCTGGGCTGATGGAGGCTAGCGCAGAGCTCACAGAAGGGCGAGAAAGTCGCCAGGTGATAGTGCTCGCGCCACCAGAAGTAGCTGATGTACTCCTCTTTGTCGGCAGCCACGAAGCGCATGTGCTGCGCCAGCTCCTCAACGCTATCGAAGCGATTCGCATCGATGTACGAGTGCGGCGGCAGGAAGCGGCTATAGTTGGCGCCGCCAAAGACAACGGGCACTATGCGGCGCTGCAGTGCATCGTATAGCTTCTCGGTGACATAGTCCGTGCACAGCGAGTTCTCGAAGGCCAGGTAGAACATGTAGTCCGTGTCCAGCATCTCGCTGCAGTGCGGATCGTCGCGTGCACAGCTGCAAGCAGAATGGAATTGAGTCTCCGATGCGGCCAGAGGCGAAAGCCTTCGCGCTACTCACTTGAGTGTGCCGCACTTGCCGTAGATGTCCACCTGGATGTGCTTCTGCAGTGCGGCAGCGAGCTGTTCGCGCTCCGACAGCGTCTGGCAGTGGGACACGAACCAGGCGGCCATCTTGGACTTGGTGTGCCACAGACTCGCGACAGTGCTGTCGTTCCAGCTGCCCAGCGCTGGCGGCTGACGCCAGTGGGGAAAGGGCGCGGGCGCTATGGGTGCTCCTGTGAACGTGTCCAGCACGTGGGCATAGGGCCAGACGATGTCCGAGTCCAGGCGATAGGTCATGGTCAGATTATAGAAGTGCTGTTCGTCGCTCAGCCGGTGCTTGGTCTCGCCCGGCGGCTCCAACAGGGCGAAGACGTACGCCTGATGTGGACTGCGGCGTGCGGGCAGCGGCAGCAGCACCGGAAACGGCTGCGCCACATGGTAGACGATGGCATCGTACAGTTCCAGACTCGGCAGGTACTCGTGTCGATTGCTCAGCTCACACTGGTACACCGGGCAGCCGAGATCCTCTCGAAACTGTTGCGGTCCGAGCGTATCGTAGGGCAGATTCCAGCGCCGATTGCCAAAGAAGCTGCTCCACAACAGAATTGTTCGCGTCGCTGGTCGCCTGGCCACGCCCACCTGCCCGCCGACCAGGTACTCGCGCAATATGCCATTCTGATTCACCAGCGGCGAATTGTTAATCTTGTAAATCAGCGCACCGAACAGGAACAGGCAGAGCAGCACCAGAGTTAGCGTGCGTCGCATTTGCAGGCGCATAATCAATGCTCACCTAGTTTTCGTTCTTTCCGTCGGAGAAGGTAGCAGGTAGCAGGTAGCAGGCAGCGAGCAGCTTGAATGGTCATCGGCAATTGCCACGCCCGTCAGATTGCATGTTCCAGGCGTTCGTCCAAATGCTTAACAGCGATTAGTGGCCGTTGTCGCCTGTCTTTTTGCTGTTCATAGACTAATTGTGTTTGCCCCCTTATCGCTAATGTGCTGTGGTGCAGTTGGTGCTGTTGGTGGTGCTGTCGGTGTGAGTCAATGGCGACTACCTGTGAACGTGTTGACGATTAGGCGTTATTGATTGCTGTGTCAATAATAAGCAAATGTACTCACACCCTGCCTTCACTCGATTCTCCAACTGATAAGCGGACTTATCAACTGATAAACCACCAGCCACAGAGAGCGTCAATTGTGTGGCTAATGCTATCAGGAGGGTAGAGATTAGAAAATATACAATGTGCTCTGTCCCAAATTGAACTCAGCTATATGGGACAATATATTGAAGTAATGCCGCTAGCCAGTGCTTAATTTAAGTTAGTCTAAGACCAAGATTAATAATTGCACATTTAATTAATTTCATTCAAGGCATTTATTGATTACAATTGTAATAACAATATTAAGGTTTCATTTATTTAGAATACACTCGTTGTTCTGAAGCGTCTTAAATAGAGTCTCTCCTCATTTGAACTGTTTCTACTACTTAAACTTTAAGATCTATATATGAGTGTTTTAAGCGTATTTCCACTTATTGAAAGGCTCCAAAAATGCATATGTCTGCATATCGAACACACGTTTTGCACCTGTGCATATCAAGTTGTTGGGATAACGCGCAGGTTATCAAAGCTTAACTTCTACTTTCAATGAAAACTCGTTGTCTATCTCGTACTTATATTAACTTGAACTACAGTATATACATATACATATATATAGTTAATATATTTAGCAAATTTGTACACGAATTAATGCTGCTTGGCTATGGCCGCAGTGAGAGCAGCGCTCGAGCTGATCTCTCCAGTAGTTGGCAGAGCAGCGCAAAGAGCGTCACGAAGCCATAGGCCAGCCATGTCTTCAATATCAAGATTAAGGGCTTCATGCCACACGCACACGCACATATGTGCATATATGTATATAAGACTAAGGTTTCTTCCACTATTTTGGCAACCTTCTCCGATGGCCGCTTAGGCGCTTTTCAGCTGCAACAGTCGATGGCAATGCCAGACAGAGCCAAGGCAGCAGCTGACTATGCATAAATAACAAGTCATTTGAGAATTTGAACACAAGGCTCTTCCAATACAAGCACCCACACACACACAAAAAGCACACTTGCAGCGTGTATGCATGTTAAATGACAATATAGTAATATTGTCAGTTGACATGCCCGTGTGGAATATATATGTATATATACATATACCTATATACATAGGTATATAGCGTGGTTAGTTTGGCTCAGCCACGCGCTCACGGTAATTGAAGAGCAATCTTTGTACAATATTCATTCATTAACTTAATGGACTCTAGCCATTCCCAATAGTTAATGCGCACATTTGGAGCATTTCTAATTTGAATCGCTTGCCCTTGACATTTGGGATCAACTTAAGCAATCTAGGGAAACTAACATATATACATTCTACTTGAAATTATCTTAGATAGTTTGTAGCTAAGTTCAACTTCATATTTTATATTTAGTTTCTATTTTATAAAGATTTCTTGTTATCTTCTTCAGTTCAAAAAAGAAAAAATCATATTTAGTTTTACTAAAAGTTAATTCTCCAAATGTTTCTTTTTAGAAATTCTCATATGTTGAAAACGAATTTCAAGATTCAATTTGTGAAATTTATCGTCTCGCAAAAAAAAAAAAAAAAAAAAAAAAATGATAATAATAAATTCATAAGATTAAAGGATGAATCATACTAATAAATTTAATCAACAATTTCCAAAAAAAATAGAGAAAACAAATGTGAATAAGCAATAATAGGAAATACGAGATTAAAAAAAAATACTGGAACCATTTTTGGGTGTTTGCTATTCAAAACGGGTAACTAATAACAGAATCATACCTACAGTCGCATGCTAGCACAGATCGCACATGGTTCTATATGGTATAATGGGTACATACATACATACACGTACTATTTACAAATACACATCGATTTTAGATTAACTAGTACATATGTATTATCACAATGGACGACTGCCAGGCAGTCTATATGCCGCAGCAAGAGCGATGCGCGGCGGCGACAGCGGGGACATTCTCATCTAGATCCGGCTCGACTCCGGCCTCCGAGATCGAGTTTTGTAGGCGCAATGCATTGGTATCGTTTTGCTGCTTACTGCCATGATGGGCCACCATCAGTTGGGTAAGCAGCTCGAACAGTTCGTTGACGCCGTCGTTCTCCTTGGCGGACGTTTCCACGTACTGTGCGCCCACCGTTTGCGCATAACGCAGCGCCGTCTCATAGCTGATGGCTCGCTGCTCCTCTAGGTCAGTCTTGTTACCCACAATAATCAGAGCGATTTCGCTTCCACGCATCTGCTTCAGTTCGCGCACCCATGACTTGACCTTCTGGAACGAGTCCTGATCGGTGATATCATACACCAGCAGTGCCCCATCCGATCCCCTATAGTATATGGGTCCCAAGGCATGAAATCGTTCCTGACCGGCCGTGTCCCATATGTTGAGCTGTGCGCGTCTCTCATCTGGCAGCGTCACTTTTTTGGTCACAAACGACGCCTGCAGCGTGCTAAGATGCTGTGTATTGAATTTATCCTCCATGTAGCGCAGCACAAGAGATGTTTTGCCCACACAGCCTACAAATGCGCAGCACATTAGATATGTGTACATATATACAATTATGCATATGTATGTAAAAGAAAAAACAACAATTGCGATTGTTGGTTTAGTCACCTTCGCCCAGCAGCACCGCTTTGAAGTTAAGCGTGGGCCCAGCACCAGGTCTTCGCGAACTCATTGTTGGTCCACACTTTTACAATTTAATAGGCGATTTCGAATCATCGAGTTAATATGACGCACTTGGAAATTTTTTATTTGATTTTACGTTCATATATATACATGTAGGAATATTTTTTGTCAAATTGTCCAGAAGAATCGCACGATAATCACCGATACGCTGTGGCGGCATGTCGACTATTCATTGAGACTGATAATTTTAATATTTTTGGTATTAATATTTCAATGCGTTGCCGAAATTGCAGCAAGAACTCACAAAAAAATACCATAAAATATCGTGCAGACTATCGATATATATATCGATATCGTTTTCAGGCCACTTAAGTTTGGCGCGCCGTTTGATTTGGCCTTAACAAGTAAGCATAATAAATTGCCAATATAAAATTTCTTGAATTCAATGACAACAATAATAATAACTGTATCAAACAGCAATGGCTTGCATTTCTTTATTGCAATACCATTTAAGTATTCAACTCATACTGCACTTGTTCTCCTCACACATGTTATATGTTAAATTCCAGCACATAGCGCACACGGGTCTGGAGGCGTGCGCACATCCGCTTTGACCAAACTGCAGTTGTTATTGTTGTTGTTCATGCGACGGTTGCTCTCAATTGAGGTGACACTACGCAGTGCCATACTTCACACGCTCCCGGAGTCGAAGAGGGTGAGAGTGAGAGAGAGAACATACATTCCTAGGTACGCTTACAGTGGGCCGAATATGTGGATGCTGCGTACACAGTAGTACTCGACATTCACTCTCCATTCATTAGTCGTGCGAAAGCAACCATCGTACACATAGCCATTCTCGCTCTCTTTCTCGGACGCGCGTTCTGGCTCTCACTCTCTGTCGACTCTGCTCTCATTTGTCGCACGCTCTCAGCATATGGCTCCGGCTCCGGCCCCGGCTCTGGAACTAGCTCTGGCTGAGAGGCTGTGGCATCTGTTTTCTATGACAACGGCAATGGCGCAGCTTTGACTCGTGCTGCCGTTTCATTCTAGAATTAAGTGCCGACACAGCAGGAATCTAAAATTTCGCAGCGTCAGGCGCGCTTCGTGTGCCTCCAAAACCCGGAACCGAAACGAAACGAAACGAGCCAAACCGAAACGTAGCAAAACGAAGCTAACGTGAATGTGTAACGGTATCGGGCAACGTTGATTGCAATGCAACAAAAACTCAAAATCCATTGAAAACTATAGCAATTGCATTGAAAAGCATTCCGAAAAGTTAGTTGAAGTCAAATAACGGTGTAGCTTGTTAGCTGTTTCACGATTTTTGTGATTTTTCTTTTACTGTGCAAAGAAAGTTTCAAGAAGCCAAATCCCTGCCCTACAAAAACACTCACACACACTTGCAAAATATTTGGTGTACACACACACACACACACACGCACGCAAAGTGGTTTTCTGTGTAGGCGCTGCGTTGTCTTCGCCGTTGGCAGCGGCGTCAACGTCGACGTCAGCGTCGCATTTGGCATACATAAAGTTTCGGCCTGCCCGTTAGAATTCAAAAGCCGCAGGTCTATCGTATAACGGTAGATGCTTGAGTATTCCTTTTGCATTGCTCTGTGTGTATGTGGGTGTCTGAGTGTGTGTGTGTGCATGTATATTTGGTCAGTAAGCCAACAACAATTGCGCAAAAAAGAAAAACAACCAGCGAACGGGCAACAACAGCAATTATTTTGTCTGCTTTGAATTTTGCGCTTGCTCTTTCGGGGTTGCTGTTGTTGCGTCTTTCGTATTACGCACTTTCGCACACGAACACACACACACACACACACACATACGCACGCATACTCAAAGGATTTGTGGCGTAAAAGGCGAAATGCGCAGCAAATGCAATTGCCACGCCCCACACCGCCAACCCGTTCTACAACGCAGCGGCTGCTGATTACTTTATGTGTGCGTGTGCGTGTGAGCATGTGTGCGTGTGCACATGTGTGTGTGTTGCTGTAACTTTTGCATTTCTAGGGATACACAGGATACACAAAATGCGCGTTAGCTCCATAAAGTGAAGTGAAAAGCGCCAACAGCAGCAGCAGCAACCATAACAAAGGCCAACAGGCAAAACAGAACAAAGAGCAGGAAGAGTGGAGAGGAGAGGAGAGGAGAGGAGAGGAGCAGAGCAGAGCGGAGAAGGAGTGTGCTAAAGGCCAAACAAAAACAATTCACAGCTCGTGTAAAGGAATTCGCGTGAAGCCAAGTGGAGCGCGCAGAGGCAGAGAGGGAGAGGGGATATATTCGAGCAGGAAGAGAGGAATAGAGCATGGATAGCTCACCGGATTTGTCGCTGTCGCTGAAATTGCGACGCGGCTCCAGCGACTCGCGCGACAATTTCTACATGGACTTTGCGCAGGGCATCGACTCGGACATCGAGGAGGTGGACAACAGCAATACAAATCTGGACGATGCTCTGGCCTCCGGCTCGGGCATGCAGATGGGTTTGCCACCGCCGCCGCTGCCGACAGTTCCGCTGAGCGATGAGATGATGCTGATGGTGGCACCGCCGCCGCCGTCGACGACGGGCGCACTGACGACGACGTCGATGATGACGACGAGCACTCTGCTGGGCCAGCCGTTGCCCACGCTGACCGAGACGGACGATATGCCGCCAACACCGACGCCGCCGCCACAGCAGCAGCTGAGTATGGAGGCCAACTCGCCATCGGGCTCGCCCAGCAATTCGGTGCTCGAGCTGGAGCTGATACCACCGCCGCCGCTGTCGCCCATGGACGACGCCGGACTGCGCACCGACGACGACGACGGCGAGGAGACGGACGATGCCGAGGAGGCGATCATTGAGCCGCCAGCAATGATGCAACAGCAGCAGCAACTGGAACTGGAGACTGATGCCGATGCCGATGAGGATGAGGACGATGATGATGAGGACGAGGATGATGACAAGTCCACACCGCCACCGCCGCTGCCCCCGTTGCCCTCGAATCTGTCGTATGTACAGGGCAGCGTCACACCCCCATTGACCAAATCACCATCGACCTCGCCCTCGCCACCAGCCACGCCGCCTCCGCTGCCGGAGCTCAACATATGCAAGATGGTGTCGCCGCCGGCGCAGCACGTCAGCCAGATACCGCCTCTGACTCCCTCGTCCGAGAGCGAGGAGGAGTCGCAGACGAACTCGCAACCCATTTCCACCAGGCAGCCGGAGGAACAGCCGCAGCAAGAGCCGGAACCGGAACCAGTAGCCCAAACTGATCGAGAGCCAGAGTGTGAGCCGGAGCCAGAGCCAGAGCCAGAACCGGAACCGGAGCGTGAACCCGAAGCTGAGCCAGAGCCAGAGCCCGAACCCGAGCCGGAGCACGAGCCCGAGCAGCAGCAAATGAGCGGTGGCCAGCAGTTGGCTGCCGAGGATTACAGTCGATCTCTAGACAATGAGGACGAGTCCACGACGATCACAACGCCACCCAGCAATGGCTACTCTGCATCCTCGATCATTGCGCCACCGCCCGAGAACTTTGGTGAGCTGGACGAGGACAGTGTGGGGCGTGGCTTCATACCGCCACCGCCAGCTGGTCTCGAGGACGCCAATGAGCAGCAGGAGCAGCAGCAGCGGGAACAGCAGCAACAGGAGCAGGAGCAGCAGCAAGAGCAACAGTCGCATTCGCTCGACGCCGACGACGATGAGCTGACCAAAGTCGAAACCGACGAGCTGTCCATGGACAAGATGTCGCTTCATGTGGCCGACGAGGAGGGCAACGGGGAGCCAGCCGCCGACAGCATCAGCTCCCCCAGGGCCGCCAGCATTGCCAGCGGCGGGCTGATGTCCACCGGTGGTGCGATTGCTGCCATGGGCACCATGGCCGGCGCTTTGCCCCCATCGCCCAAGTCGGACGGACGCGTGCCCAGTCGCAGCGGCAGCCAGCGCTCCCATGCCGGCTCGCACACCAGCTCCCAGCACGGCTCTCGCATTGGCTCCCACGCGGGCTCCCACGCGGGCTCCCATGCGGGCTCACGTGCTGGATCGCGTGCTGGTTCGCGCACGGGCTCAATAGCCTCGGCCGCGGCTGTCGGGCCCGTGCTGTCGCCTCAGGCGTCGCTCAAGTCGCAGGCTTCAGTCAAGTCGCAGGCATCCATCTCGGAACGGAGTCCCGCTCTGTCGGTCAGGTCATCGCAGCGCAGCGGCGAGCGCGTTCAGAGCCCGCCCGTGGGCGAGAGTGCCCCGGCCATGCCCTCGCCCCCATTGATGCGCAGCTCACCGCCGGAGCTGGCCAAGAGTCCACCGCGGCAAATGCACAGTCCGCCGCGCATCACCACGCCTCCGCGCGTCTGCAGCCCCCCGCTGGTCAGCAGCCCACCCAAGCTGGCCGAGACGGCAGCCGCTGCAGCCGCGGCCTCAATGCCCAACGCCCTCAAGGAGCAAGTCATGTAAGTGAACTCCAAGATTATTCCCTGCTCACATCTAATGCTTTACCTGATTGAAAGTAGAATTGATTTGGGGTTTTTTTAAAGGGTTCTAGTATATTTTACTTTTTATTTTTTCTTACCTTAACTCTTGATTAGCTAAATGCACTTAAAATATTTTAAATTTGAGTCTCTTCTGGGTTCCAGGGGCTGCAATGCTTCCAATCTTCTGTTCGTTGTCATTGTGATTAGGTCGCGAGCTGATTTAGGTGGATGAACATTCCGTCTCTTTTGAAAACATGGTCGCTCGAAAGTATGCAACACTTTTTCGAATTAAGCTTATATGTATAAAGAAATATAGCTTCAGGTTTTACGGTTTTGGTATAGTCCATAGAGCTCTGAGGAATCATATCACTGCAATATTTTCACAGACTACGAGTATACCCTGAATTATTTTGTCTACACATTTTGATATCATCAAAATATATCTATTGCAATTATAGCATATTTAAGGTTCCACAGTATCTTATCCAGGGTCAGATTAACCCTCAAATAGGCCCTAGATAACCATTAATTTGGGGGTCCCTATTTTTGACAGCCCTTCTCTTTTCCCTTTTCCCTTTTTTCGATTTTAAAATAACAGTTTCATTTCTTGGGGATCCCAGCCAACTGCCTACTCCACCCAGTTGTTAATCCGGTCCAGATGTTATCATCATAAATTTACTGAATATATCCGCAAGTCTCCAGGGCCGAATCACGCATTATTTAAATCCATTCGTATGCTTGGTATTTCATTCTCATTTAGTTTCTGCTCCACACTTTGTTCCCAATCAAGCGAATGCTCTAAAATCAACTCAAACTCAAGTGAATTTAGACAAATCGATCAAGTTTTTTCGCAACAATTTTACCATATTCCTTCATATCTTTCACACTTTCCCATCACTTAACTCATTAACCCATTTCTTTGCGTTTACTTTAGGCGTATGGCCCAATCTCTTGAGGCGATTAAATTGATATTTTCTCCTTTATTTTTTCCCCATAATATGAGCTCTCGGCTCTAGTCTCGAGTAATAGCTATCTATATAAACCATCTGTTGGTGGCTTGGTGCAGCTTCTTGAAAGGCGGGGCATGCCTACTTAGCTAGCACTTTAAGCAGTACACAGAGAGCGAAAGAGAGAGAGAGAGAGAGAGAGAGAGAGAGGGAGAGGGAGAGGGAGTGTCTTCCACCCAGTTTGCGTCTTTGTTAATTGCATAAACGTTGCCTTGGCTCTCAGCGGCCGTTGTCTGGTTCCATTAGTCGCTGTTAATAGCCGAGCAAAACTGTTTAACTCGTGCACTCGACACTTGCCGCATGTTGCATGCAGTCCTTGGTCGTCGCCTGGGGCCCGTGTCTGACGCCCGCTACGATGTTGGCGCCGCCCAGCGTCCCGCGCCCTGCGCCCCGCGCGCATCCTGCGCCTCACTAGTCGCAGCTACACTTTGCATTAATTAAACATCACGTTTCCAGTGCAACACCCTGACAAGTTGCAAAGCCATTCAGGCCACACGCGGCCCCCACTCAGCCCCCACACAGGCCACACACGGCCCACGCGGCGTATGCGGCATTTGTTAATGTGCATACGTCAGGTTGGCCGCTGTCGCCAGCATCCACTATGTCAGACGTAGCAGCAGCCGCAGCCGCAGCCGCAGCAGCAGCAGCAGCAGCAGCAGCAGCAGCAGTCGAGCTAATTGGCTCGCCACGAACGAATTGCGCAACAAAGAGCGCGTCTGCGGGTTATTGTCCTCCGCTGATGTCACCTGGTGGCGCCCACTGCCACGCCCGCAGTCCGACTCAAACCAAAATGGGTCAATTGAAAGTTGTAGCAGCAGCCAAAGGACCAGTTGCTCACCCAGCCCCCGCTCCTGCCCGGAAGTAAACGTCCATTCAATGCGTGCATGGCATTTGTGGTTTTGTTTGCTCAGCCGGGTCAGCCCTAATGGACATTTCCAGGCCACTGGCCAAGACTGAGAATGAGACTCGCATCAGCTGTGAATGCACATGTGCATAAAGACGATTCAAGCCAAGTCAACTCAAGCCAAGTCAAGTCACATCACGTTGAGTCGAATGAATGCCTAACGAGCACCATTAATTGGCAGCTGAATAAGCTTTAAGCAATCGCAGTCGACAGGCTCACAAACTATCGATGGATCCCCTGACTCCCCATTCAACAGCCGCCCCATTCAGCTCAACTGGCGATGCAACAAGGCTCGCTGCGCATCCATTTATGCAACAGTCGTGTCGAGGGCAGGTTAACAACCCCAGCACGCCTTCAGAAATCGGATTATATAAAGGAGCGATTGAGTGCATGACCCACAGTAACCACCACCACCACCACCACCAGCAGTCCGTCAGTCAGTCAGGCAGTCAGGCTGGCTGGCTGGCTGGCAGCTGGCACGGCTTCAGTGTCCTGTCGACTGGAAGCACGCCGCAACGCCAGCCAGAGTCGAGCCGATGTCAAGGTTATTTATGTATAGTTGGCAAGCAAGCCTTGCCACACTTGTTGCGAGTCCCGAGTCGCGTACCCTTAGACCCAAGTACCTTTACAGCTCCATAAGGACAAGTGCCCCGTGCCAGTGCTCGACAATGTTGTCGAGTGCCAAGCGGATAGACACTCCAACTCCAACACCAACTCCAGCTCAAACTGCAACTCAAACTCAATCTGAGTCTGAATCTGCGTCTGTCAACTGCATTTTTTCTTTCCACATTTTTCATTTTTCCCTTCTTTTTTTCTCAATGTATGTAAACAAATCATGCATATGAATTCATTCCATTGAATGCTTGAGTGTGCATGCAAATGAATGAATGTGTCAAGGATTCGTGTTAACAACCTCGGAGCAGGCAGTCAATGCGTTTATCTCTGCATGTTGACATCCAGCTGTCAATCTAACTATCAATGAAACTCTCTAACAATCCAGCTGCGTCTCTATAAAATTCTGAGCTCTGACAAATCTCTAGTTGAGTTCAGTTTATCCCACTTATATATATATCTATATTGGATTTTACTGTTTATTGCTGTCAATCTAACTATCCATCCAACTCTCTAGCCAGCTAACAATCCAGCTGCATCTCTATAGATAATATAATAATATATGTATATGCACAAGTTCTTAGAAATCTCTAGTTGAGTTTAGTTCTTCCAACATATTGTAGATCCATAATACATCTGATTATATAACTAGAGATCTCTGAGAGCTCTCGGATAGTTATGCATCGAACTCTCTAGCCAGTAACAATCCAGCTGCATCTCTATAGATAATACTATGTGCGAAAGTTCTGCGAGAACTCTAATTCAGTTCAGTTCCTCCAACATATATCCATATTAGATGTGATTTCTCAACTAGAACAGAACTCTCCACTCTGTAGATAATTGAATTGCTTGCTTGTAATGAATAAACTCAAAAACTATTGGACCGATTTGAAATATTTTTTAACATTAGAATCGTACGTTATTCCTCATGAGCTTAGGCTTTAGAATATTCTGAACGCTAGGTTTGCCAGTAATTTAATACATAGTAGTAAAGTAAAAATGTTATAAATCCGTATATCGAAAGCCCAAGGAGAAAAACTTCTATTAGAAATTGCCTGTTATTCATTTAGTAGGCATTCAAATCATATAAACATTTTCCATTCAGCACAAAACAAAAGTTTTTTTTTTTTAAATATAATTTCAAATTGCGCTAAAAACCAAAATCGCAATATTTTTGAATTGACTTGCAGATATTGGCATCAAGAATAGGTCCAAATGAAAAATCTTCAGCAGAAACTGAAATTCGTCTGGCAAGTCAAAGAGTAAGCACGTCTCAGAGAATCAGAGAGGAAGAGAGAGAGAGAGAGAGAGAGAGAGAGAGAGAGAGAGAGCGAGAGAGACAGAGAGAGAGAGTGAGAGGGGAAGATAAAGAGAGAGAAAGCGAGGGAGGGAGAGAAAGATAGAAAGAGACAGATAGCGAGAGACAGATAGAGAGAGGCTTGATACACATAATATGAGAGTTTTTCACGTCCACACACGACAGTTGCAGACTTTTGTAGAGACTTCAGATAAAGATAAAATAAGGATAAATCAAGGTCTGGGTGTTGCCATCGCCTTTCAGACCACAGAGAGATAGGCAACAGATGACATCGACTGCAGCTCGCTCTAAATACGATCCACAGATCGATTATGCTCGATCAAATCAAACAAGAGTCGAAAATTCTTTTTAGCCAATACTCAACAAATGGGCTAATATTCCGTATGAATAATAGTTTTGAAAAATGTTTAACCAATAACAAATTGGCTAATATTTCGTTATAATATTTAGCCCAATTCACTGACCACATGAACCTTTATTTTTTCATCAACTTTTCCAAAAGGTTCGCCAGATGCAAAGTAGAGAAGTAATTAAATCAGAACATTTTATTTATGGGCTATAGTCGATTACCATGATGAGGACGACCCGCTAGTATATTAATATATAAAGTGTATATGCATAAATATGAATTTACGCTTTTGGTATTGTTGCCTTTTCCCAATTTGTCTATTGTAGTCCTCATTTGCCTTAATTGCATGTTCGTCGCGCTGGAGTTGCAAATAGCGAGTTGCTAGCCCAGCCAGAGACTGTATAGCTAGACTATGAATACCTCGACATATAGACAAGCACACACATACACACATAAATGTATATATACAGATTGAGATTGTGCCTGCTGGGGAACGATTAGTTTCAATTGCTGCAGCCGCGCTTTATGGAGGGGGTTTTTCATTTGTTTGTTTGTTTTTTTTTTTTTTTTTTTTTTTTTTTTTTATTTCCACATTTTTGTGCTGCTGTTATTAAGCACAATTTAGGCGCACACCGAACTAGTGTGTGGGAGTATATAGCGTATAGCAAAAAAAAAAAAAAAAAAACATAGACGGGAATTAAAACACGTCGCTTGACAATGGCAATGCCACAGATCAGGCTTGATTAGGGCCCGCAAATTGATTTATTTGACTCTGATCGAACAGATTTCAGTTGAGCTGAGCCATGGGAAATCTCTGTCTTCCGTCTGATATCAGTTGCTGATCTGATTGGAGTGCAGGGACTTGAGTTATTTGCTTTTAATTGGCCGGGAATTGTGCGGCGAGTGCTGGGCATCTCTTTTGTGCTCGAGTGCCGCACAATCTGGCTGTCGACGGAAGTGTCTGGCACCCGAAATGATGATGGGCAGTGGCCCATCAATGGTCAAGCGTTCGCACTCGCACACCAGCGCAGATCAGAGCCGAGCAGAGCAGAGCGTTTCGTATGTATAGTGTAGCAGTATGCCGTAGTGGATGAGCACTGTGGCATTTAGCAGTCGCCCATGGCAACGGCGGGGGCCATTATTTAATTAAGCCACTGTTGCGGCTCTGTCTGCAGAATATCTGCGCGCAAATAATATGCATGGAATGGGGGGGCCTCGTGCATGGCCAGCGACTGCTCGCCGAGTCAGTCAATCGATGTCGCTCAGCGCTGCGACTGCACTTGATCTGCGGCGGGGCCAGCTAAGTAGTAATCCAGAGCTGATTCCATGCCTTCTTCCATTTCCAGCAGCAGCAGCAACAGCAGCAGCAGCAGCCGCAGGCTCTTCAATCGCCCGGATCCCACATTCGCCACGCTCACCTTCCAGGATGAGCAGCCATCGCAGCCATCGCAGGCATCGCAGTCGGCGCAGCCAACGCAGTCGACCACTGCGGAGCCAGCTGCCAGCGTGGAGAGCGTGGTGACCAGCCAGCCGCGTGCCCACTTCACGAGCAGCCATCACCATTACCATCTGCCGCACCAGTTCCAGCATCCGCACCATCAGAACCACCACACGCACAGTGTCCGTGTGCCCACGCCCACGGTGCCGAGCAGCTATACGCCGGCCACGGACCCGGATGCCCGCTCGCCGAGCAACCTGCGACGGGCTGCGGCGCCAGCGGCGCCAGCGGCGAGCAGCACGCTGTCGGCGACGTCCAGCGATGCTGGGCACGTGACGGTATCCGTGTCGCCGGGCCGCATGTCTGCACGCTCCTCGCAGCATCACGTCACCATCGATGAGTCCAACTTGCCCACCAAGTGCAACACGGAGCGTGCCGGGCCCAGCGGCCTGATACTCGTCGGCGGCGAAGGGGACGGCGATGAGAATGCCGGACCCGGCGGCGACAGCTCGGAGCCGCCCTCCTCGCCGGGCAGCAGCTCCCAGTGCCAGGATCGCCAGAGCGGCCAACTGGCCCTCATGTATCATTCGCATCAGCTGACCAACTATCCGGTGATGCCGGCCATCAAGCGCACGCACCGCCCCTCCTTTGTCTATCCACCAATGCCGCGCGTCAAGGCGTAAGTACTTTAACTATGTATATACTTTACCATATATGTATATGTAATATTCCTATTTGATCTTATAAATCTCTCCTTCACAGCGGCGATGCTCTGGCCACACTTTTCTCGGCTCTCTACGGCAAGCTGCTCGTGGTCATGGGCGTGGCCTTTCCCATGGCTGAAGTTATTTCCACCTACATACCGCCATCGTTTTATGAAGTAAGTTCAAACTGAAATATATCGAGCTAAATATACATATATACATAAATATCCGTATAAGAATTAGATTATAATATAATGTATATAATATAATACAATGTATATATATTTAATTAATATTATTATTATTATTATATATATATATTTTTTTTTTTTTTCATTGAGATTTTATTTCTCTTGAAAAATTTTCGTTTAATAATCATATTAAGCTTATATTTTTATTATTATATTTATATTTATTTTTATTATTATATTGATATTTATTTATATTATTATATTTATATTTATATTTATTCTATATATATTTAATTTTTAATTCCATTGATAAGTTAAATTTTTCTAAATTTATTTTTGCCATTAATACAATACTTCATTTGCAATATTCATATTTCTTTCCTTATTCGTATTATTATTCTTATTCTTACAATTATGATTATCATTATCATTAATGATATATTATTTTATACAAATTTTTCTTTGAGTTCCTCGATTTTTACATCATGTTTTCATAGTTCTGTCTTCTTTTATTCATTTTCCATTTCATATTTCTGTATTTTCTGTTTTCAATCCATTTATCTATATCATCTACCTATCTTAGCTAAAAATATGCCATAGCTCTAAAGTTGAGTCTTGAACACATTGATCTTTTACAATTTGTTGTATTATATATTTTCTATACCCATATTTATCTATAAATATATATTTATATATCATCTATCTATATATGTATACACCTCTACTTCCTAAACAAAAGATATCCATATAGCTTTAACATTTTGTTAAGTTAACCCTAAGTTTTCCATGAGCTGCAACCTATGCTGAAACACAATTATTTATTGTATCCCTTATCTTCATATCATCCGAAACAAAGATCCTCTTTCATTATCTCAGGCAGCTTCTCTAATGGCAACTTCTGCCTTTCTTCCAGGTTTACTATTTGTATTTGTATATTGGAAGCATGATCTTTTTGCTGTTCATGTACGCCACGCTGCTCTGGGGACGACCCAAGCTGCCGGTGCCCGTGGGTAAGTGATTCATAGTTTTCTACAGCTTTCGAATAAAGTGGACTGATGAGAACTTTGGCATTTACAGCCACCTCGCCGAGCAAGACCACGTCCAAGGTGAACGCCTCGGACAGCATGGACGAATCGGACACGGACAGCACCACGACGCGGCGCCGCATCCAGCCGGCCATGCCGGCGCGTCGTCCGTCGCTGCTGTCGCCGCTCGGACGGCAGCATCACTACGGCAGCTTCTACTTGCGCATGGGGGCAGTGGGTGAGTGGAGAAAGAGAGAGAGAGAGAGAGAGAGAGTGGAGAGAGTAGAGAAATTGTTTTCTATTTCCTTACTTGTTGTTGTTGTTGCTCTTCGCAGCATTCGGCATTGGCAGCATGATCTATTCGGGCCTGGAGTTTGGCCAGTACTTCGAGCTGAATCCGGACACCAAGTGCCACAATGTGCTGCTCGCACTGACGCCAGCGACGCGCATGGCCTTCATCTTCATTCAGATGTACTTCATATTCCTGAACAACGAACAGATCAAGGTGTACCGCTACAAGATCATCGCTCGGTTCGGCCTGATGCACATGATCGGCACCAATCTGGCCGTCTGGCTGAACGTGCTGATCCAGGAGACAAAGCACGAGATACTCACCTTCTACAATCCCGAAAATCGCACGCTTCGCATCTCGCATCGCATTCCGGGACACTCGCGCGGACACGCTGTCATCGCCCACGATCCGACGGCCCATTTGCGTGTGCCGCGCGGCCTGAAGGGCCCCTACCAGATCTTCGAGTGCCGGCGCACCAACATCATCGGCACCCTCGTGCAGGACGCCTCGCCCTTCCTCTTCCCCTGCACCATCGAGTACTCGCTGATCTGCGCGGCCATCCTGTACGTGATGTGGCGCAGCATTTCACGCCCACAGACGCCGACGCCCCAGCGACCGGACATGATTAGCTCGCCGATGAAGCGCTCGCCCCACCACTACTCCGTGGACTGTGCCCGGGCCCACAAGGGCCTATTCGTGGGCATACTCATCCTGGTGCTGACCATCATCTCGCTGATCATCTTCTTTGTGCTGATCTCGCGGCCGGAGTTCGTGGCGCTGGCTGTCACCGAGGTGACCATCTGCGAGCTGCTCATCTACGGCACGGCGACCATAGCCACGCTGGTGGGCATGATCCAGATACGGCACTTGCAGTACGACGCCTATCGCAGCTTCTCCCTGGACGACATCCTGCTGGTGGGCGCGCAGACGGGCTCGTTTCTGTACAACATCTTCACCGTCATTGCCGGACACTTTACGCTGCGCAGCGACGACATGCTGGTGCCCATCAATGCACTGGCCTCCATAGTGCAGACCGCCTGCCAGACGATGTTCATCCTGGACGCCAGCCGGCGGCAGGCCGTCAGCCCGGAGCACATACGCAAAAAACCCGGCCGCGAGATAGTCACGTTCATGCTGGTGGTGAATCTGGCCATGTGGGCCATCAGCACGCTGGAGAAGTCGCGCGCCGAGTCGCATCCCATACAGCTGAACTTCTACGGACTGTGGGCCTGGACCATTATCACGCACGTGTCGATGCCGTTGGCCATATTCTATCGGTTCCACTCGACCGTCTGCCTGTGCGAGATCTGGAAGCGGGCCTACAAGCTAAAGCCGACGTACATGTGAGAATTCGCCCGCATGCGCATTCAAAGCATTGCGCAGCAGCAACAATTCTGCGAGGATCTCAAGACCAATCTATCCCACTGCTACTGTTCCACAACTCTGGCTGGCGGTGATCTCGAAACGGTGGATGAGGTGGACAGCGGCGAGAGCGGCAATGGCAACGGAAATGGCAATGGCAATGGCAACGGCAATGGCAACGGAAATGGCAATGGCAATGGCAATGGGAACGGTGCCAATGGCGATGCTGAAGCCGGTGCTGTGGATGCAGTTGTCCAGCAGGACGAGGGCGAACAGGGCGGCGATAGCGTAGCTGGCCGATTGGAACGGGCCCACGGCCGGGCGCTGTCGCCGCAGAGCCTCAACACCGAGAAGGCCTTCTGTCCGGTCTACGTTATAAACGGCGAATGAGTTTACGCTCACTTTGAGTTCATCGACGCCCTGAGCGGCCATGAGCTCAACTTTGTTTAGCACTGGAGCTAACGCAGCACCGATGCCCACCAAACATAAGGAACCATACACTCATTGTGGACGAGTATGCTTAGAGTACATCACTCACCCCACCATCCGAGACCCACCATCCAAGAGAAATCACTTTCACGAACCCACACTCTACTTTAACCTGGGCGGGTGCCAAGCCACCGACAACAACAAAAAAAAAAAAAAAAAAAAAAAAAAACACATAAAAACAAAAAACATTATAATTGACATAAACAAACGCAAAAACATATCCGCAAGTTGGAAATGGCAATGGAACAGACATATTTGAGATATACACAAATAGATTCGTATGTAGTAAATGCAGATCCAACCATAGAGTAGAGGCAGACTCAATGAAACCAATGCACGGTCCTTGACAAAGTAAAAATCTCGTAGTTATCTAAGCAAAGTGTCGCTCCCAGTCCCAATCCACGATTGTAGGCGAGTCGCGTCGTGTTCGTCCGTCTGAGTTTGTGGATCTCTTGAATAGCTACAGAGATGGCAGACACTTTGCTCAAATTTTCCCAGAGTAGTAGATCCCTAGCTGAGTCTGGGTGTGTTTTCATAGGACAATGTTACAGTTTACATATATGGTATCAAAATATTGATATATACATATGTATACATACATACATACATACATATATTCGTATACCCACAAGTTAGATTCATATTTATTCGAAATTGCATAAGGATATACAAATATTTCAAAATGTTGGTGTTACATGGTACATGTATATGGTTAAACGATAACAAGTTCCACAATAGGTTTTAGTGTTGGGCAACAGCAAAAGCTAACAATAAAAAATGTATTTCAAAGATTCCATTTTCAATCTTCCAATACTCTTCAATCGAATTATGTTGACTCTATAGAGACTGAAACTGTGTGTCCATAATGACTTCTACAACAACAACAACAACAACAAGAAATAATCGCCATTAACTGAGAAGCGCTGAGAAAGGCGCTGCCGTAATACGAGTTGTGAATCGTCAAGCAAATAATAGTATTCATATTATCCAAAGAGTTCGATTTAACAATATACACAATACGCGATACGATACGATATGATACTAAACTACATACATACATACATACATACATAGTTGATATTCCTGCGATTCGAATACGTTTGAGAGGAAACATTTGATTGATTTAATCGTAGTACATTAAAATTAAAATACATCTACTTGCGTATTAAATATAAAGCGAGATAAACACAACAAGAAACCCCACCAAATGCGAGCGATAAAGTCAAACAACCATGAAAAGTATTAACTATATTGTACTACATAGTAGCATATGATATAGAAAGGTTTATAATGTATAAGATCTATAGAGTATATATACGTACATACATACATGCATACTTACATATTCATATACTCGGAATGTTTATAATCAACAGCAATAACATCTAAACACTTTTGTTGACATCAACAAACATTGAGATATGTATTTACATATGTATTTGCATATATATGTACTTGCAACACTTTGAAGTAAATTTTTCGTATAGACATGATCCTTTTATTGTTGAAAATTCCTCGTTTATTATTGATCTGAAATCGTTGCCGCAACATAACGAGATTTGTGTTTGTTGAATTGCAATTTTGAATTACCAACTAGATGTTCGATTGGATACTATTTTATAAGCATTGATATACTTGTTGAGAGAGCTTCGTTTACCCTTATTTATAGGTTCTTGTGATAATTTAACTAACTATGCTCATGCTTGCATACACACATATACATTTATCTATGTGTGTTGTATGCCAAACTCTTCATTTACAATTCATATACAAAAAGAAAAGAAATGAAAGGAAAAAAAAATACGATTGGAATAATACATAGCTAAGACTATAAATATATATAAACTATTCAGTATTGATTAAGCTCAAATAGAAGGACAAATCATAAACAGTTCAATGGGAAGTACATTCGAAACGCACAAGTAAAAAGCAAAGCAAAAGCAACTAACTAATATATAAACTGTACTTTTAAATACAATTTTTTTGTCTACCATAAAAGTATAGCCTAGTATTAATATGTCTGTATGTACAACCAAATGTTTTACATGCATAAGTTTTTATTAGTATATATATATATATACAAAATATATATATATTTATAACTAGTATTTCCCCCAGCTGCGAACCATTGACTTGTATATTTTTCAAATGCCAAAGAGTTTTTACTTAGCCTAAGTTTAAATTGCTTTCTATATACACAGCTAAATGCAGGCATATACATATATCTATATATATGTATATATATGCATTGAATTGGTACCAAAGATTTGAGTTCTTGATTTGCAAATCAAGTCTGAAAGTTATAAATGTCAAAAAGAAATTAATTTCCAATGAAAACAACTTGAAATCAAAAATAAAATAAAATATATATATATACCATACATATATATATTGATTATTAAAAATATATATATGCACAACTTAGTTATCTCAATTTTATATTCAAACAAAATTTTTAACTAGCATAACTGTAACTTTGTATGCATTTTCTTACACGTATTTAGTGTACTTGGACACTGCTCAAAAAAGGAAAAAATAATAATAATATTAATAAATTTATATCGAACTCAAAAAGTCGTATAATCGAATGTGTCAAATCAAAATTGAAATGTAATAATAGCATATAATTATAACTAGTTACTAGTTGCGAAATGTAATGCGCACTACGTTCAGAAACTGTATTGAAAGCTCCTATTCCAGTAGTCAAAGAAACCGAAACCAAAATAACAACAGAAATAAATTAATAAAATTTAAAAAAATAATTAAAATTAAAAAAAAAACACTAAAAACCCTTAATTATGCCCAACAAACTTTTTTTAATGCAAAAATATTCAGAAAAAAAAAATTATGAAAAAAAAATATATAATAAAAATAATTATAATGATAAACAATACAGCTCATAGTTATATTTGTATTGATCAGAAACAAACATATATATACACACACTAGAATCTGTGTTCTATTAAAATTTATATAAAAAAAAAAAAAAAAAAAAGACAAACTAAATAAGTTTAATTTCGTTTTATATTAGAATTTGACAACTTTTTACATACTTCATTGTTTTTACTAAGCTGAAGTTAATCTAGAATTTCCATAATGATAATCCTATATAAGATTGATTTTAGCAATTGGCGATCGATGACACCCCCAAGCCCTACCCCCACCCAAAAACTGATCATAGTTAAGCAATAAATATGAAGTAAAGATTAATAAAACTGAATTCGATTACTATGAAAAAGCTAATTTGAGCATTGTTTTCATTTGGGTCAAGTGGTGCTCTAAATACATAATTAATCTCCGGGTACAGCAGCAGCAACCGCTGTACAGCGACCGTGTGAAAAGAGCCCAAAGTAAGTAGTACAACAAGTAAAATACAAAATTGATATGGTTCGCATTTCGCATTTCGCGTATCTGCGAATGGGCATGTATCTGTGAGAGGCACAGGCTGCTGGTTAAGGGTTGCAAGCACGCACGCGAAACTGATAGAGATAGAGCTAGAGAGAGGGACAAAGATAGAGAGAGAGAGCAGGTGAGTAAGAGAGAAAGACTGCCACGACATATCTTCTAAGCCAGGGCGCATCAGCACCCAAAAATCGGGTCTCTGCACTTGAAGGGAGCTGCAGCAGCAGGCGTAGGGGCCATATTCCTTCAACTACCTAAAGCTTATGCGCTCTCTCTCTCTTGCTCCTTCTCTTTCTGTCCAGCGCTCTCTCTCTCTCTCTCTCTCTCTCTCTCTCTCTCAAGCCATCTCGCCTGTGGATGCTGTGCGCTGCCCCTGATTTTCGCTGCAGTTTTGTGGATGCTGTTCAGCTAGGGAGCTGCGTCCTATGTATAGGCTCATATGTATACCATATATATATATATATATAGCAACTGATTACCCGGGACTTGAACCACGCCCTGGCCAACAGAGCTGGCCGAAAACTAGGTTAGCACTGCTGCTCGTCCCTTCTATACTTATATTTATTTACCTAATACCATTTTCCTGCTACTTCTTTTCTTTTCTATTTTTCTGTTTTTTTTTTTTTTTTTTTTTTTTTTTTTTTTTTGACTTTTCACTGCATTACAAATACAATGACTGCCCGGGGCGGCTTTTGCTGGACAGGACGAGCCCCTCCTCTGCTGCCTCCTCCTTCTCCTCGGGATTGTTTAATTCAATTAACGTTTTATTTGGGGTACGTCAACACACGCAGTTGCCTGCAGCTTGACCAATGCACATGCCCCGCCTCCCCCTCCCCACCTCCCCCTTTCTGCTCACACACAGGCCAACACCTACGCCCACACCCATGTGGGTCGCCACCTCCCCCTCCTCCCCCACGCATGGTAACATTAATTGTGGGCGCGCCTCCTTGCAATTAGATACAAAAGTAAAGTTTACACAAAATGCACCCTGTTTGGCGGCAAACTTAAGCCACGAGGTGAATGTCCTTTGCCCGATTTTTGGCGCATGCGCCCCACAAATTCCAGACACATCCCGTGCCACAGTCAGAGCCGCATTCAGCACAGCCACATCTAGAGCGACAGCCACAGCCATTGCCAAAGACCCAGCGAGCGAGTAGGCGCAGCAGCAACAGCAGCAACAGCAGCAGCAGCAGCAGCAGCTGGCCCGCTCCGGCTCTCATGTCCTTGCTCTGTCGCACCTCCACGGCACTCTTTACCTGTACATGTGTGTGTGTGTGTGTGCGTGCGTGTGTATGTACTTCAATCCGTGCATAAGGAGACGCATAGGCACGCACAAACAGAAGCCTTTTATGGTCCATAATCTTGGCAGTCGAGTGTGTCAACACGACAATACACAGGTCCTTGCTACAGGCATCTGAGGCGCACACCCAAAAGTGGGCGTACCACAGCGCCCACTCAAGAGAAACAGACTCTACCCGTATGCTCAATCAGCCGCATGCACACATTCAGAAGACTTGCAAAACCTCGAGCGTTGCTAAATTCTCGGGCCTATTAAAATCAGATATTTTTCTATTTGTAATTTGTAATAGCTATACACATATATGTATATGTGTGTACATCTTGATGTATGGTATATTTGTATGTCGTGAGCGGCTATCAGACTTATTCAGCATATGCTATATCTCTGTCTGATCAATTAGCTGAGTCAATAACTCGAATAGCCTTCACTAACCCACTGATTGTTGGAGTGACTGATTGAGTGATTGAATGATTCGTAATCTGATAAAATTTCAGGTTATTCGATTGTTTGATAGACGCTCTGAATGACTGATTGACGACTGTTTGAGGTATGCCTTAACTCATTGATTGACTAACACTGATTGACTCACTGGCTGGCTAGCTGAATGATTGACTGATTGATTCACTCTCTAATTAATAGATTGACTGATTGACTGACTCTCTGTCTGACAGTTTTACCGATTGACGGCTTGCTTGACTCTCTAGGGATTGATTGATTTGTAAACTATCTGAATGATTTTTGGATTATATAAATTAGGTACTGATGATGAGTGACTGACTGATTGACTTCTGATGATGTGATTGACTGATTGATTGATTGCTGACTGACTGGTTGTCAATATTTTAATGTATTCGCTAACTCATTGATTGACTGACTGATGGATTGATTGACTGAATCATTTACTCTCTGTCTAATTGATTGATTTACAATGAAAATGACTGATGTTTTACTTATTGAGAGATTGAGTGACAAACCTACTGATTCCTGATTATCTGAATAATTGATATTCCTTCTAACTGACTGTCGATTGATTGACAGACTTCATTGACTATCTGTATTAATTGATTAATTTATCGAATAATAGATATGGATAGATATATTACATTTTTACTGATATTTTAATTTATTGCCTGATTGATAGGCTGGGGGACTGGGTAAATGTCTGACTCCTGTTGGACAGCCCAACAGCCTTCATTGGCTGACTTTCAATCATTTGGCAATAAACGCAGTATGCATATTAAATTTCCCAGTTAACTTTAGGACTACAATTTCCCGTCCAAAAAGATTGACTTGCCAATTTAGCTTGTATCAAATTGAGTGACTGATTGATTGATTGATATGCGGATTGATAAATTATCTGATGGAGTATTCAAATGAAAGACTTGAATTAAATGAATTCTTAGAAATTTTCTAATATTGAAAAGTTGTAAAAGAAATATTTTAAAAAAATATTACAAGATCGAAAACAAAAGAAATGTCTTCAGAATTTACATTCCATACGAGCTCGCTTAAATGTGGCACAGGAATACGTGATTGGCATTTATACTTGTCTCCATAAGCCAGATGCATGTATGGAGTAGGAATGTGTGGAGCAATGCAGTCAATAAGGAATTTTCGGCTACGGTAACCCACAAAGGCTTGCATTAGTTAGTTAATTATGCAATCTGTCGCATTCGTCGGCAGCGCTGGCTGAGGCTCACGTGCTACTGCTCCAGACCGTCGCCAGTGTTCAGTTTCGGCTCAGTCAATCATCGTCTTGTTTTTATATCCATTCCATTTTGCCTGCCGCTTCGTAGCGTAGCGAATGTCGTGTGCAGCAGAGACAGCGTGACTACGACGACAAAGGCAGCAGCCAGCGGCAGCCAGCGGCAGCCAGCGGCAACGGCAGCAGCAACATATGCGAATATCGTAAATGCTTACGATATACACACAGAAAGCGTCATGTAACGCCGACAGCAACTGAACTGTGCTGCCGCTGTCGCTGTCGCTGTTGTTGTTGCTGCGACGCATATTGGACGAACCGTGTGAACGGCGGGCCGCAACGCGACGCCGCTGCCGGCGCGGGCAGAGCGCTTTTTCGTTGTTTGGTCTCGTGTGCGTTCTACGTTTTGAGTTGTTAGTTGCGTTCGAACTCAGTCATAAACGAACTGTTACGAGTGATGGAAGAGTCAATACGCTGCCTGCAAGCAACAAACCAACGCAAGCAACAAATACACCAATAACAACAATAACAACAAGAGCAACAACAGCAACAACAACAATAATAGCAACTTATTCAAAAGTCAATCGGAAACTGTTTTAGAATCGAGCCAAGTCTTAGTTCAATTCGCTTGACTAGTCATTCACCTGGTATTCACTTGAATACCTGTACTAATTGTTGCTATTGTCGTTTGTGTTGTTG